CCTCCCTGGACAAATAGCTTAGGGCCCACATTAAGACAGAATGATTTCTTCCCTACTTCTGAGATAAAATACAACAAATAGCAGTATTAGCTGCAATTTAAAAAAGAAAGAAGGGGGGGAGGGGAGGAATATACACTGCTCATGTTATTTTAAACGAAACTGGAAAGTTAAAGTTGTATGACTACTAAAAATAAATTTCAACCGCCCTCAAATGGAAGTTAGGCCATATTTCTTTTACACTTTAAAAAACAGAAGAGGGAAGACAGCTAAAGAAAAGATGGTATTTTTAAAACATGTTTAAAAGTGGAACTGATGAAATAGTTGCATTATTCTGGTTACTATTTTTTGTTTCAATGTTAGTTACATAAATAACAATAGTATTATCTTATTAATTATTATCTAATAATTATTCCAAAACATTTATCTGACACACAGCAATGTCGGCTCATACTGAATGTTGTGAGCTGATGATCCTTCTACTTTTAAACACATGTTTTATTTCTGTACTTCATTACAAGTGACAGTTCTGCCTTCTGCATCCACAATTTAATTAAATAAAAAAACCCACCAACACACACAAAAAAAAACCAGAACAAAAAAAAAATCCCACATGTTCCTAAACCTGAAGGAATCCTTCAGTGTCATAACCTGTTTGACAGTACCTCTTAGATCAACTAACATTAGATCTCCTCTTAGAAAAGGAAGCAGACAGTAGTAGTTAGCCTCCATCTTTTTTCTTCCTCCTCATTATTTTAGATTTCTTCCTCTTTTACTTTACCCCTGACTGCATTCTTGGGATGACCTGATGAAGAACCACGTAAAAGCACTGAGAAATACATTAATTTGCTCTACAAAGATAAATTACAAAGAGAGAGGGGTACACATAGCCTAAGGCTAAAAAAAAAACCAAACAAAAAACCCCACCCCAACACCCCCCCCAAAAAACCAAACCCCACAAAAAAACCAGTTGGCCTGAAACCCCATCCAAATCCTTCTACACACTGAATAACAAACTTTTGTTGTCCTACTGTCATTTGAAAGTATCTTCCCTTTACTATTAATAAAACCCCTCAAAATCATGAACATTGAATTATACACACACCAGTTATCTACTTTAAGACTGCACGAGTGCCTGCTATTAATTTTTTTTAAAAAACACTGAAGCAGAAATTCATTTTAAAGAAACGCGCATACGCGGCCGTTACAGAAAGATGGGAAAAGAGCAGGTCAAATACTACAGACTTATCAGCCGTGCTAATAACCTTTACCAGTAAATAACTTTGTGGTCAAAATGCATTGCTAAGACAACATAAATTTAGAATCCAAAATCAGAGCTAAAAAAAATACCAAGTTCTTTGTCCTAAAGCATGGAAAAGAGAAATACTATATGCATTAGGCTTGCAGTCTAAAGAGTAGAACGTGATCCAGGTGGAAGAACTGACTTTTCTCAAAACAAATCAGAAACTTGCAAGGAGTTCCACAAAGCCCTTAAAAAGGCAAAAAAAAGAAAACCTGCACAGCTCAAAGGGTTGACTGTGCTGTGCATGAGAAGAGTGCATAACTCGTACAACAGAAATGAAAGTATTTTTGCTTTCTTGGAGCGTTCTTGTAAGACCATTCTCCTCTGTCTGGCTGCTGCTACTTGCATTTGCATTTGCTGCTACTGACATGTGCACAGCTTGGACAAGTAAGCTCCCACAGCTTGCACTGGAACATGAAGAATATGGGGGTACACGCTAGTTAAATTACTACTTATTAGGTAAAGAAACCAGGTGTGTCTGCCATTGTAAGCATGCTGGAAGTATACTTAAAGCTCAGGCATCCAAACAAATCAATTCAGTGTAACAAGTTACAGCAGGTTACCTGATCCACTGTAACCGTCCATGTGCACACGCGTAGTTACCCGGGTTACCTTATCAACAAGGAACAAGGACTTTGTCACAGGCTGCTAACACCTACAGGGCACCGTTAACTACTCAGAAATTAGGACTTATAGACGCTATCTGACTGCATCTCTAGAATGGAATATCCCATTAACACACCAAAACACAGCTACCTTATCCCCTCATCTGCAGTTAACAGTTTTTCTAGGGGGAAAGTGACAGAAAAGGAAGGATGAATCTCGCTATGAAAAATGTCTCAGGTTTTTATTAGTCTACTATTCAAGTCTGCAATGTCTTTAACATCTGAGAGGATCCTCAACGAAAGGGTTCATCTCACTTTCTTGCTAATGTCTCCTAAAAGCCTCTTAAAAATATAATAACTAACTATCATAAGAGAATGCCGCAGGATTTCTAAAATGTTGAGCTTCCCTAACAGCCAAACCATCCGTTATATCCAGCTTCCTTCTCATAATTTTTTTCCTCTAGAATAGGATAACACATTGAACTTGCCAAGTGAGGAGGAAAACCTACAAACACTAAACTCTTGTAAAAACAAAGGCCAATCAAAGAAAAGAGGCAAGCGATGGGCTTCTCTCATTCCTTCCCTATTCCCATTTCATCAGTTTCTGTAAATGCACAGAGCACCTCCTCTCCCCTCCCCTCCTGCTATGGGAGCACTGTCTAGCAGCCCCTGCTAGTGTGGAAAACAAGAAACAAGCCATGGACTCTTTCAGACCTTCCACCTGGCATTTCCACCCAGGCAACTCAAGCTTCTCAAGAAGTCCAACCACTAGGAGCAAGGGTAAAAACTGAGGATTAAAAACCCCCCCAAAATATGCAAGTTATGAATTCCTTTTCTCTGTCAAAACATGAATATTTTCACATCTTTATGGTATGAACACACACTGCAATTTTGCTATATAGCAGACTGAGGACAGTTTTTCAGTTCAAACATTCAATACTATAATTTTCTTCTTAAAAACACCTTATACAGTAATTTTGAAAGGGCCTTGAAAGGAACTGGCAGCTAATAGGATAGACAGCACTGTTTCATAACAGCTTGCAAAAAAATTCAGTCTATTTTTAGATAGGTGAAAAGAATGTGGTTATTTAAAAAAAAACCCCTCAGATAATATATAAAGTTGTTTTCATTTATAACTTGCCATGTAAATTGTGCAGATGATGTGTCAAATCAATCTCCAGGTGAACAGTACCATGTATTTAAATCCTCAGAAGAAATCTATGTGCATATACAACATTCTCATTTTAATCTTTATTGCAAGATAACGCATCGTACTGCTACAAAATCTTAAGTTTTTAATTAATGGTGTTTAAATGGACCTCAGATAAATGCATCCTTTTCTAACTCGGTGTCATAATCCTTTACAGGGACGTATTAATCTAGCACTACCATTAGTTCAACTATGAGCATGTTTTGCTCAAAAACAGACTGATCAGTTTTAGGATGCTGCATAAAATTAGTATTGATAAAATAAATGCCTATATTTTATAACAAATTCCCCCATAGCAATGCCAACAAAAGCCTTCCCAAAATCAAGTTAACACCTGTTTCCCTTACTATTTTCAACCCATCATCCCCTATGTTATCACCACCATTTTATTAGTCTTGTATTTAAAAATTTTAGGCATCAGGGTGGGATAGAGGTAAACAAATAAACATTAACATTTTTCTTTCACTACTCTTATTTTTGAATAAATAAATAAATTAAACATCCCTAAAAGCTCTTCTTATATTTCTCCATTTTGGAAAGGTGACTTAACCACCCATTCCCCCCCACCATTTTCTGTATCTCTCATTGCTGATACTTTGTTATACTACAGCTGGTGAAAGGCAATGCAGTTTTTGCTTCTACATATCTTACACAAATATAAATCAAATTAAATTGCTCTTTTTGTTTTTTAAAACCATGCATGCCACACAGCACTCGTTCATTTTGAAAGATGTCTTTTAGCCTGGTTCCTTAAGATAGCTTTCAGTACACGACCATGTCCTTCTATGCTGAGCCATTCAATAAAATGTACCATAGGCAATAATTTCAGCTAAACATACAGTTCGAGTGCTTAAAATTAACCATTTTTTTTTTTGCCAACATCCAACAGTAAAATGGCAAAACAGAACATTCGGATGGTCTTCTGCATACAGCTGAAATGATTACTGTAAATTATCTGAGGGAAAAAAAATGGTATCATGTTGCTCTGGATTTAGGCAATTTTGAAAATAAAAATCTCTCTTAAAATTCAGTCACAAGCAAAACATAAGTGAGCAGGGCAGAAGTGATCATTTAAAATCAGCAAAATAATCCCCAGGAGGTTATTTCAGATCAGAAAACTTAATGTGCGTTTAGTACCTCGAAATATTTCTTTAAAACGAAACAGCTACTTGAAATTGTAATAATCTGATTGACAGATAAAATGATCGCTTTAAAAACACTTCTGAGTCATTTTGTCCTTACCTGCAGGCATGAACCATTACTGCATGCAGCGACTGCTCCATTTCCTAGCACAGACTTGAACAAGGATCACATCTATCTTACAGAATGTGACTAATTGGCGGATTTGCGATTCCTGAGCTACTTTGAAAAGGACACTCCCTTTCCACATAACAGGACATGAAACGCTTCACCAAGTTCTATTTCCTACGCATCTAAATTGAAAGGAACCCTGTGCAACCGTGGAACGGTTTCCTGCAACACAACAAAAACGCGAGGGGCTTTAAAATCGGATTTAGAAATCGAGATGCTGTTTGCGTGACAGTGAAAAGGAGCAAGGTCTGCAACACCAGCACACACAAACCAGCAGCCTGCTGTAGTAGGATTCGCATGCTGCAGCCCAGTAGGCTTCATTTAAAAAAAAAAAAAGAAAAAAAAAAAAAAGAGACAAAAAAGGAAAAAAAAAAAAAAAAAGAAGAAATCAATAAATATCCGCAAAAACGCACAAAGCTTAACCAAAAAGAGAGGTTCGATGGATACGGTACAATGACCAGCATGCAATACGTAAACAATACCAGCAAACTTGACAAGGAAAAGAAAAAAAGCCCTGCGCCGCTGCTTGGCAATGCTACAGCACGAACCGCTCATGCAGGAGATGCAGTTGTACCTTTCTGAAGAGGACGACTTCTCAGAGTTAACTGACATCAGCAGCTCAATCTTCTGCTTGATTTCTGGAAAAATCAGAAAATATTCACCACCGAGACCGCCTGCCCTCGCCTTCCGCAGTCTTACCAACCCAACGACTTTATTTCCCTAAGCCCTTTTGTTCGGCAGGAGGCCGCAGGAGCCACGGTGCCCAGCCGCGCTCTGAGGGGACGGAAACAAGGGAGTTATGGCGCGGATTACCTCCCCGGCTGGTTATCTCAGCCGTGCGGGGCACCCTCGGAAACCTTCAGATCAAAAGCCCTGAAAAATATGGCTCTTTGAATCATTTTTGTCACAAAGAATGAAGTATTAAATCACTAGTTTCATGCACGGGTTAGAAATCAGGCGTGGAAAACGCTACGCATACCTGCATTTTATCTTTTTAGTGCCCTGCCTCTAATTTCCTCCAAATACACTTTGAAAAGCAGTATTCAGTTTTCCCTCATTTTTTTAGGGTATACTAATTACCAACCTAGCACTTGCAACGACTGAGCGGGAACACCCACC